AAATTTACCTTAAAGTTATCATATTTAATAATTTTTAATAATTTAAAATTTATAAATCTAAAAATCAAGTGTACTTTTATGAGATCCACTCATGCATCCAATGCCGGATGTTACTGTGTCATCTTGCTCTCGTTGAGACGTATCTTCGAACTCGGGTGGCAAATGTAAAACCTACAAACAAACAAATAATATAAAAATTTATATGACACAATATACTAATTTGAAAAAACAAAACATCAAAATCTACTAACTTCTATAAGAAACTTTTTACGGCGTAATTTAAATGCTAAATCTCTGTGTTGTGAATTGCCGTGTGACAAACCATTTAATGCACACAATTTCTTAATGTGCAACAGACCATGATACTCCTTATACAATGGATTAAGCGCTTTTGCAGATCCCGCAAACGATTCCAATCTAATTGCTATATCCGATATGTGCTCAATTCTTTCGATAACGAAATTCTAGAAAATGTAGGCTATAAGAAGGTTGGTCGATGTAAAAGGAATAATTTTTCGGTACTTACGCTATTAAAATTATTAACTGGTATTGTTACTATGCCGACTGCATAGGAATTCCTTAAAAGTGCTCTGAAGCAATATAGGAATTTTAATAGATCACTATCAGAATATTCCTCTGTGTCACTAAGCCATAATCTTGATCCCAAAGAATGAATTGCGATTCTTAAAATTTTCTTTGTTTTCTGTTCTGATGGTTCAGAGAGAAAATATTGTCCATCGCGTAAAGTTTTTTCTACATTACATAATAAGTCAGTATATGCAGCGTTCTTAAATGTATGACTACTATTTTCATCTAGTGTCATTTCTTCATCAAATTCCCATTGTTTTATGTCAGCATGTTCTAAGAGATCCTTTTGCATCTGCTTTGTGAGATCATAATAATGACCGAATATTTGACCTCCCGTAGGAGTTGAATCTACTACTTTCATTTTTTGATATCGCCAAGCTATTTTCATTGGTTCATCTTCATTATTTGTAGTTTTCGTATGTAGTAATTCCTCTGAATTATCTATAACTGCGGGCAATCCTGATACAAGGTGGGAAGGTTGGACATCTTGAGACGCAATCAGTATAGGTTGAGATACGACTACTCCCTCTGCCATAAAGTATTTCAATACAGTTTTAGCATAGAAGCCATACTTGTCCTCCTCTGAAAAGAAATATTTCTTTAAACATATAAACAAATAAAACGTTTCATTAACTCCTTTAGAATCCCTGCGCACATTGTAATGTATATCAAATTTAAAGATATTATCTGTTGAAATTATTTAATTCTACATCATCTGAAATCTGATGTACAAATAATATACAGATTGAAAAAATAGTCAAATTAAAAAAATTATTTGTTTAATATGAATTAGTTATTAAAGTGCGCATAAATTGAATTTAAAAAAGAAAATTTTTAACATGATTCCATCCTAAAATTAAGTCTGAAGGAGTTAAATACATACACTACCACTTATAATTATTTGAACGATATTTTATATTTTAAAAATATTTAGCTTTCCAATTTTGAAAGCTAAGTAAATATTTCTTTCTCTTTCTTCTATACTGTCGTTAACACAAATAATACTTTATTAGAATAATTGACGCTATTTATGTTGTATATTAGTTGTAATTGTGTATATATTCTAAATTCAAATTATTAAGATAACATTTATCGAACTATCTTTAACTATCCTTGAATCGATATTATACTCAATATTTCTCACCGTTTCATTTTTCTATTACAATCTATTGTAATTATGGATTATTTTTATTCATAATTATAATAGATTGTAGCAGAAAAATAAAATAGGAAATACCAATTCAAGAATAGTCAGAGATAAAGTTTCGTTAACATTGTCTTAATAATTTAAATCTAGACTACAAATAGAAGTTTAGATTATTTAAACTTACAATTATAATCAATAAAAATAGCAATTATTTTGATACAATTCATTTTAATAAAATATTATCTGTGTTAACAGTGAGATACACAACTTACTTAGCTTTTAAAATTAAAGTAAAAACAAAAATGTCTGTTGAATAATTATAAGCGGTAGTGCATATATGTATATGTGTGTAGTGTTATTAATATTTAATCCTTCAAAAGAAGGGAAAATACATCCTTTAGAGGCTGAATAATTATTGATACCCTATTAAAAAGTCAAAAGGTTATTCTGTGTATATAGTATATATAGTCAATATAGTACATAAACTGGTAATAAAAAAGCATTAGTTTTAGATTTTTTACATTCTTGCAAAAAAAGATGTATGAGTAATTCTCTAAAACTAATTACAATATTCAACAAATCTTGAATGACTCAGCTAGTTAAAGAAACATAAGTGTATACAAATATACATACCAATTAAAAATATCGAGCCAATAGGTAAACCTCCGCCAATTGAACTGTCTAAAGAAGGTATCCCTGTTGAAATAAGCAACTGTGAATTTCGTAACGAAGGTCTCGTGCCTGGTATTACCGGAAATCTAGTTTTAAGTCTTGTTCCACCCAAAGCCATTGCTTTTGCCTTCTAAAGTCATCCAGTAGATATCTGAAATATAATTTTAAAGAGTATTTGAATATTGCAATCTGCAACTTTGTGCAAGTTTATTTAAATTATATAAAAAGTAAAATATTTGCAAGTAAATGTCACAGTGACGTCTTCTTTGATATTTATTGTATAAAAAAATCAGACTGATGACGAAATATACGTTGTTGTGAAATATGTCTTATTAATTGTACAAAATAAAATAAACAATTTATTTGCTAGGAATAAAATTTTATTTTGTCATATTTAAATAAGGACTTGTTTCAGTAAAAATAAGCATTACATATTATAAATCAATTTTTAAGTATTTTTTCTCAGTGTATTAAATATTGCAAATATTTAATACACTATATTAAAATGTTTTCTACTCATTAAGTTCAAAATGCACATGTTCAAAATAAATATAATAATAAATCTAAGATGAAATTTTATTTATCGATATACTTTATGTTATGAAACTTTATATAATACGTCAAATATACTTTATACTATGATACGTCACTACATCAAATTTGTTTCACTTCTGAATAGAACTTATTTAATTTTGCATTTATATCGATCATCTTATTTTTGCTACTTTCAATAGGTCGCTTTCCATTTTCACACAAGTGAATCGCTTTCCATTTTCACACAAGTGAGTCTGAAGTTATGTATTTTATACTCAGATAATTATGTTATTACATGCTTATTCTTGCTTATTTTGGTTACGATTATCGCATAACAACTGACAACATGGGTTTACAGCCTAACCTCACTTTTGATGTGAATTAATAAGATTCAGTGAAGCAGTCTTGTGCAAATTGTAAAAACTTAGTTAAATCTCACTTGTGTCAAAAAAGAAAAGTACATACATTCAATCGAGAATCGTCTAGAATTATCTGGATTTTGATGTAAATGGAAAGCAATTAAATGTTGAATCTCATTTTGCTACACTTTGACTGGAATTTTTCAAAACAGTCTACATTTTAATTCAGAGCATTCCAAAATTTTTTTTACAATATATTTTTATACATTTATAAGGACAAAATTTGACTCTGGCAAAAATTCGGAGGAAGTAAATCGGAGTAAATCCGTCAATCAAAACGCACAGTACCATAATTGAGTTTATCACGTTTGCCACGTGCACAAGATTTTGATAGGTTTTGAAGATCCGTGATCAGAAGTTTGTGCTTCTTTCTCTACGATACTCGATCTTTCCTCAAAACGATTACACCTGGTAGTCTCAATCGAGTCGTACTTCACACCGGACGAACGTTCGAAAAACAACTAGTCGCATACCGGTTCGTGCTTCCTCTCCTCGTCGGTGTAGCATTCACTAATCGCAGGTCATAAATGTGGAAAATAGTCTGGGAAAGCCCGTGAGTCTGCTCTTCGAGTTTCTTATAATAAGTATGTATATATGTTCCGTTTTCGATAACGGAGCACAAATCAGCACTTGGAATCTTTCGAAGCCGTTCTCGACGCGAATCCGTCCACCATGATCAACGCACCGGCAGTGGCACTCGTGGTATCCATAATAGTACCGATGATCGCCGAACGTTGACGCCACGTTGGACGAAGCCGATCGGAGGTCGACGGTTTCTGACGGTTTCTCGCGCCGCCACCGGAGCGCGGCCGCGTCGCGGCGGCAGTAATTACGGTTCGCCGTTTGAACGGGATGCATGTTCGTCCCGTTCTGTCCTACGCGCAGTTCAGTTGATGGCATCGTGATCGTGCGCTTGCTAGGAGCCGATCCGATTAAGCGCTTGACGTTTCGTCGCCGGGTGCGATCGCGCGCGAGCATCCGTGTGACAGAGAGAGAGAGAGAAAGACGAGGAAGCGGAGAGAAATAAGAGCGAGAGAAAACGAGAGAGAGAAAGAAAGGTAAAGAAGAATCGTCTCTCGCGACAGAGCGGATAGGACGCGCGATCGTAATATCGTATGCGTGCGCGCGCGCGCGGGCGCGCGTGCGTGAATGTATGCGCGAATCGAAGGAAAGTGAGGTTATGCAATTGTTAATACGATCGTACGCGCGCTCGATGCCGACGCTCGATGACATGTGATTCATCGCGACGGTCAAACCGGGTCGAGTCCCGGAGTGTCGGCGCAGTGAACGAACGTCTACGCGCCGCGCGCGGTCCAGTCGCGTTGCGCATCGAGTTGAAGTTGCGCGCGTATCGAGCCCAACGTCAGATCGTTCGCGCATATCGAACCTAACGTCAGATCGTTCGCGCGTTCGAGGACCGTTTAATCGCGAAGCGTCTTCCGCGGAACACGCGCGTGTCTGTGGCGATCTTCGTTCCGAAACGTCAAAAATCGGAACGATCTCGAGATAGTTACCTTCAAGAAGAACGCGAGAGACTTGTAAGTGCGAGAGGAAAGACACGCGGGAAAGATTTTAAATTGTCGGAGAGAAAGAGACGAATTTGTTGTCGCGCGCGCGCGCACGCGAGTGAGTGGTGGACTCGGAGACTCCGGCGAATGCGCGCAAGAGGAACTCCGAGGAACTCGTGCCGAGCGTTGAAAGCACTCTTCCCTTTCTCCCACCGTGAGCTACCGACTCCTCGCGCCCCTCTCTCTCCTTGGCTCGCGCGCACGCCTTCCGTCCCCTGCCGCGTCGCGGCAGCGTCGCCGAGCATCGCCGACGCGTGTTCCCGTCTCGGTCTCTCTCCGCGCACCGGTGTGCCGTTTGACGACCTCTCGCTCCCACCCGCTCTCTTTTCTTCTCTTTCTCCAGACAAGCCTCAGCACGCTGCCCTCGCTCAACTACCTGTTGTGACGTCCAGCGCGCTCACGACGCACCGGGCAAATTCGCCGTAAATACTCAGTGTGTTCCCTTCCGACCGACGACGATCGTTCCACATTAAACGCAATCAATCGCGGAGAGACTCGATATATATGGTGTTGTATATGAACTATCTCCATCGGGGAAGTATTTTCGTCGAGAAGGAGAGAGAGAGAGAGAGAGAGAGATATATTCTGCCACGCAGACGGCCACCGCTCGTGAAGGAGGTACCTCGATTGTGAAACCGCGAAAGTCTCTTGTGTGTGTGGTTCTGTTCCCCCTACCACTCGGCATCGCCGCGACGAGAGTAACGCGAGGAAGCGTGTGGCGGAGCAAGACGGAGAGAGAATGAGAGAGAGAGCGAGGAGGACAGCACGCGTTCGTAAGATGGAGAGAGAAGGAGCGGGCGAGAGAAAGGACTCGAGCGGGCTGTTATCGTCAAGTTAGTCGCGCGCGGCGAACCTTCCGTCCTACCGTTGTTGTCGAATCTTCCGTCGAGCGCGTTCCCGAGAGTGACAGTCGCGAACCCCGTGACCCGTGTTGCCAGAGAGCTCCGCTCGCGTTACTCGCGTATCGGGACTATTGGACGTTTTCACGCCGGTGAGTCTGACCTACCTACTAAGCGTTTTGGATTAATCGTGAACGCTGTAACTATAAATGTGACTCTAAACGTGACGTGCAGTAATCGCGTACGAAATGCGCGGGGATCGTCGTAATCGTGCGATGTTTTGATATCTATAGGGAAGAGCAGACCGAAGGGAGAGAGAAAGAGAAAGCAGGCCGTGCGACGACGCGCGCATTATCGCGCGCGCGGTCACGTGGATCGGGAAACAAAAGGCGGAACGCGACCGTGTTCATTGATGACGAGTTCGTCGCGTCGATGCCGCGCGCGCCGCGCCGGTGGCATCGCATTACGTTAGCTCTGAAGTTGGCGCGCTCCGCGCCGTATATGTGGCGCGCGCGCGCGCGCGAGCGAGCGAGCGAGCGAGTGAGGAATCTCCGGTTGTAACAACTTCACACCGTGAATTGATATCGTTCGTTTCGCGAAACAGCAGCGGGAGCGTCCGCGGTATTTTTCCGTCGCAACAAGTGCCTACGAGAGACAAGGGAAGAGACAGTCTTCTGACATTCTACTTGGTGAAACTAGAGATTATTTATACAGTGTTGTACCGTTCTCGCGAGAAGTGTGTTAAGCGGACTGTGTACGTTGTTGCTGTACGTGTCGATCTTGACCGCGGTCAAGCCCCCCGCGAGAGCGTGACACCGCTAGATCGCGCGGCCAGATGCTCCCCTGCGCTCGGAAATCAGGAGGTACAATCGGAATCGTCGGCACGCCAGTGGGGTGGATGCGGAGGATGCGCGTCACGCAAACAACGGTGAGGCCGATGGTAGAGGACGACGCGCGGTCGGCATCGCGCGTTACAATCGACCACCTTGGTGGCAATCATTGAGAACTGGCTTATCCTGCGGTGGATTTAGGGGGCTGTATGGAGGCCGGGGGGCTCCTGCCCCGACAGCCCCCGCAAGGCCCCCCCGGCGTCGCCCCCGGCACCATCTCCGTGTGCGCGGGCCAGGGCCCGAACGGGCACGCCGGCAACGTCCTCGGCCAATCCGCGGCCGCGATTCACGAATTAAACGCCGGTCAGCTGGGCATTACCGGTCAACAACAATTGCATCTGCAGCAGCAGCAGCAGCAGCAACAGCAACAACAACAGCATCAACAGCAGCAAATGGGTCAAGCACCCGGTATGGGTGAGGTACTCACCCCGAAGAGGCAGGCGATCGTAGACCGCCTGCGACGAAGACTCGAGAGTTACCGGCGCAGACAGAACGACTGCATCCCCAGGTTTGATCAAAGTTTCAACGGATTGTGCGAGCAGAACATACAGGACACCTTGGTGCTGAAGCAACGCTTCCTCGAGAGCAAGGCTAAGCGACAAGCCAAGAAGACGGACAAGAAGCAGAACGATCCGATCGGTCTCTCCAACGTTCACATGGTGAGACTTTTTCTCATCTCTTTCACTCTCTTGCTGTCTTCTTCGTCTACTCCTACTCTTCTTTTTCTTCTTCTGCTGCTTCTTCTGCTTCTTCTGTTGCTTCTTCTGCTCGGTTTCGTCGTACCGAGTAGGCGTAGGTGTTCCTACGCCGCTGTGGGAATTCGAACTTGTTACAAAGTCGGCGTTCCTTCTTCCTTCCTTCCTTCCTTCCTTCCTTCCCCTCTGGGTCTCTTCGCCCTAGAGATGGAAACACGCGAGTGACGCTCGCGGCGAACAAACGTGTCTGATGTATCTGTATTCAATATATGTTACCTGCGCCCGGAAAAAATTCCGAGATACTCGCACGAAATTTTTTGCTACGGTCCTTCACTAGGTTACAATATGTGGACGATGTTTTTTTCTACGAAAATTTGCTCAATATTTTCAAACGCGCAAGAACGATATTATTCCAAAAGAAGTGCGTCACGTTGACGAAACACACGTTGATAACGCTTCATCACCGCGTATAAAGCATCATCTGCTGCATAAAGTTCAGTATACGAAAAGTTTTGATAGTACTTGTTCCAAACTTTGCATAAATTTCATGTTTTCTCTTGCTAAATTTTTGGAAGATACAAATTGCAAACATATTGGAGAAGCGAATAAACCTAGTTCGTAGAACCGCGGAAGCAGAATTGATCGATTGTATTTTTGGTCTGTACGCGATCAATTCAGTCTCGAAAGTTTCTGGAAAAAAACATATGTTGCTGCGTATTTTATGGTTGATGCAAACAAGCAATTGAATAAACAAGCGTCTCTTATATAACTTATTCAATCGGTATTAAAACGGATTAAGAAGTCTATTTATATTGATATAATCAAGTATTCGCTGAATATCTGAATTTTATATGCATGTTAACATTATTCAGTACTAATTTATAAACTTAAATTATTTTGGTAACAAATAACGTATTTGTATCAGTCGCACTAAAGACAATTGCGTAAGGTTTTTATTTTTTAATGCCAGTGATGTAGAAATTTTTTTTAAAAACTGTTTTTAATCTGAGAAAAATTAATTCTTTATGCAAGAATATATTGTACATATATATGAACATACATATACATATATATAAACATACACGTCTTCCACTCTAACTGCTTACCTTGAATATTTTGTAAATAACATTTACATGTTGCAGATAAAAGTTGTATAGTCTGAAAGGGAATAAGTAATGATAAAAATTTTCGAAAAAATTGAATTTTTAAGGAGATTCTAAAGTTTGTATTACCGACTAAATCATATAATTTTTGTATAATAATTTATTTTTTATTTCTTTAGGATCTCCTTAAAGTGACATAAAAGTTATCATAATTTTTTATATATAATAGAATTATATGATTTTTTTTACATAACATTATTCCGCGTACAAAAAGATTAAGATATTACATAATTATCGAAAATTTAATAAGTTATGATATATTTTTACATTATTTTAGCATATTTTACGATGAAATGTGTCTCGTAAATTATTCATTTTTTGCTGCTTGAATGTTTTTATGCATAGAATAATATGTCGTGAATCAATTGGTACAAAGTAAACACATAGAATGTCTCAACCTGTAGGCAGTTGCAAGAGTAAACTACCAGAAACAAATTTGTTGGTCGCTTAAATTTGGTATTGACATATTATCTGTGGATACTGAGGGCAACAAATTTTTTTCTAATACTTCACTCTTGTATCGCCTGCACGTTGAAAGGTTTTTCATTATTATGCTTATACTTATTTCGCAAATAATAAATTTGAACCGTGTATATTTCGAGAACAACAAATTCAAATAATACTTTGATACCAATCTCAAGCAATAAATTTTTATACTGATACTTTTGCACTGCTTGCACGCTAAAAAGCTTTTCGTTGCTATTTACACTTAGTTATTTCACAAGTAATGAATTCGAAACTTGAATATTTCGAGAGCAACAAATTTAGACAACACCGTAGTATCAATTTTAAGATGTCTATGAAGCTAATACGTCTACATTAAAAAAAAATTACACCAGTATGCCATAATTAAGTGCTGATTTATTGTTCTAGTCCCGAATTTATTGCTCTTTTCCATTCGCAGGAAATTAATTTTAAAAGTGGGGATGACGTATACTAACAAATTCATAATCGGAATATTTTTAGAGCAATTATTTCTAGAAACATTTTAAGACTTAAACTAACCCAGCAATTAATTGTTTTAATATATCTTATTCTCTTATAACGTGAATTAGCATCCCGCTACACTTCTGGTGAGGTTTTTTTTTAACTTAAACAATGAACAATAAATTTAGAATCAGGATATTCTTAGAGTAATTAATTTTAGAAACATTTTAAGACCTAAACTAGCCCAGCAATTAATTGTTTTAATGTACCTTACTCTTGTACGCGAGCTAGATTGTACCGCTACATTTCTGGTGAAGTTTATTTAACTTAAATAATGAGCACAATAAACTCAGAATTAGGATATTTTTAGAGCAATTAATTTAAATTTAACATAGTTGATTCTGAGAGTACTTTTCGATGGTTAAGGATGGAACGTCGAAATCAGATTTAATCAAAATGTCAAATAATAAAATCGGAAAGATATAATACGTCGTGATATTTAAAATGATTTTTCTGGAAATACATGATACAACTAACTGAATGACGGAGCAACAAAACAGCACAAGATACGCAGAAGATACGTTTTGTTTTTTTCAATTTAATCTTTTTCCTACGGCTGTACTAATTAGAAATTTAAGTTTCACACAGCTACTGTTTTTATGAACTTAATTAAAGAAATAAAATTGCAAATAAGATAATAAAATAGCAATAAAAAGGTAATAAAAAAATTTATATTTATGTATTATTGTGTTAGTTACAAATATCTATATCAGTTTGACAGACGTTAATTTATATGTAGGATTTTTTTTCAAGTATTTTTGCAAGTATCAGCAGCATATTCAAATAAAATCCTACCACTACTAGAAAGTATGAATTTTTTCGAACATAATTTTATTTCTTTCTCTCTCTAAAGTAAGCTGATTGCTATTTGATCGTGCAAGCGTATAAATTAAAAAAAAGCTTGTTTATGCTTTGATAGGAATCGAATAAAAGAGACTTTAGATTTTTTTTTTGTTTAACCGTGTTAATTAATCGTGTTTTTACTACGTTTGTCGACTAAATCGATAAATTTAACATGGCGTTAAAATCAAGATGGAACAGGTGGACGTATGGATCGTTAAGGTCGTAGGTCGTGTCCGTGCTAGTTTCCCGTAGGCGTTCGATTCGAGACGTTCCTGCGTTAACCTTGGCTTTACGTCAATGCAGGGGCGTTCTTATGATCGCCCTTGTTACGCGTAACGTCATTGTTACGATCACTGTCACGTCCCGCGCAAAATGTTTACGTAGAGTTTACCTTTTTACATATTCATTCTATACAAATATTTATCTTCTAAAACAACTGGAATTATGAAAATAACAAATTGTAATGGATGGCCCAAGGTTGGCGCACATTTTTGCGACGTACGTAATATTAGTCCAGAGTATACATTTATGTTTGAGGAAAAGCAAAATATTTTATCATAATTATTTTACGAAAAAATGTCAAGAGATGAAATAATATTCCAATTAAGAAACATTTGCAAGATGTGTCCGCTGAAAATATTTATTCTCGAACATAATAGTGTTCAAAGCAAATATTATTAATGTGAAAAATATCGCTCAAAGCAAACACATTATGTTGAAACATAAAATTATTAAGAAAACATGCGATGTATTTGTGTGATTAATTCACACGGTACGAATCAACGTACTGTATTTATTAATCTTTGACAGATACACTGCAGTTTATCGAATCGATCATCGATAACTGGGATTGCTTTAAAATTTCACTTGAAATAATTTGTTGGCTCTTCGAGTATGACAAAACGGCGCTCTTTCGTTTGCCGTAATTATTACGTTGTCAACAGCATGCACGGGCATGTGATATTAAGTAATACGTAAATGCAAACGCGTCACCGTGGGGGCGCGCTTTATAAATGTCGCGTGCGGCGCAAAGATGAACGATAACAACTTCCCCGCGGCGGATGACGTCGGGTCATCTGTGTGCTGTATGTGTAACGTGACGTATGCACACCCGTCCTACGGATCACCGTCAGCCATAAAGGTGATAGGTAACACATTCGCGTCATACGAAACTCTTACCAAGTTGGTATAATTAATTCGCACGTTCTCGTAGGAAAGACTGGTTGCGATGTACATATAAAATGACGGAGAGATCGCGGGAACGTTTATCAGTGAACTGAACTTGATGCCGGAAGTTAGAAGTGCATAGCTCGCGAGATTTCGTATACTTGTCGATACACCTATTGTATGTATTTGCTTTCATTAATGAGGAGAAGGAAACTAACTCTATATGATACTGGAGAGACGAACGTATCGATTACTTTGGTACGATGAGTAGATATAGAACGCAATTTCCTTAACGTTTTGATTAATTTCACCAGTCATCGTCACATTTTTTCATACGTCTCGTGATATTTCAGCGATTTAACCAAAAAATCTAAGAGATAGATAATTTCCTTATTCACGAGTAGAATACTTGTATTACGTACGTATTACCAAGTATTACGAGTAGAAAATTATTTTCTTCATTCGCTATCTGTAGTCATAACAAGTTTACAAGTCTAATTCAGGTACGTAAGATTAACACGTATCTGAGATTAATCAATGCAACGTCATTTCGCCAAGGGACAAAGTCACCCGTGCCAAGCAGCTTCGTGCTCCGCTCTCGTGATATCGTCCGATTGATAACGCATTATCACCAACGTGAAACGGTGGAGTTGGACGCGGTGAGGTGGGAGGGAATCGACAGGAAACACTACTCGACACGATGTAACAGGATCGCCGATAATCACGCGTACTCGCGCAGTTTCATCCTCTCTCTCTCTCTCTCTCTTTCTTTCTGGTTCTAAAGCTACCTCGCGTACGCGCACG